TGGGTAATTAGATGTGACTAACACACATATACATATACATGATGAATGAGATAGCAGCATAAATTTTCGAATTACAAATAGCAACATTTGATAACGATGAGAAAGATTGATTTATCCGAACGAAAAAAAAAAAAGAATAAGAGTATTAATGAAATTGAACAAGAAAAGACGAGAGTTTTCTGATTTATGATAATTCAAAAGCAATAAATCAGACATACAATATTCGCAAACATTAAAGTGCCATCGTTCTAAGATTCAGTTGACATCATCGAAGTAATCAGGGATGTGGCGACCACGGGGTGCAGGGGGGTGCGCACCCCCTCACTTTTAGAAAATTTTCGCTTTTTCCCAGCAAAAATTGTTAATTTTATCGAAAAAAAAGATCGTGAGATGGAAAAATAAGGATCTGCACCCCCCACTTTTTAAAATTTCGTAAATGCATTATTTCATGTTCAAAACTTTTTAAAATACATCCTCAACTTTTCAAAAAATTTCTTTTGCACCCCCCCACTTTTTTCTCTTCGCCACATCCCTGGAAGTAATAGCGTGAAGAATACAAAGAAAAAAAAAGAAAGGATCATAACAAGTTGGATTTTTAGTATATGTCAGACAGAACAATAAATGTCAGATTGTGTAGACTCATTTTCTTGTTATAAATGATCGGCCGTTTGGCAAACTTGAGCTTCGCTCGCCCGCCTGCTCTATACAAATCCAAGTATATAACAACAGAATTTGATTGATGTTGACAGATCGAGCTGTGATTTTTCGTTCTCTCTCTCTCTCTCTCTCTCTTGTTCTTATTTTTTATTTTCTATATGTCTCGTCTTGCTCGCTTACTTGTCAAGTCAACACAAACTCTATTCAATCAAATCAGTCAAAGGGTGAGTCTTCTCTCATTCTCACACACTTTGTATTAATTATGATGATAATAAAATGAATATATTCACTAAAAGCAAATATGATTTCTAACTGATCGATCAATACAAATTATTTTATGAAGAAAGAGAAAAAAAAAGACTTTATAGAAAAATGTACACTTCTTCAATGTTTTTGACAAATGAGATATGAAACATCGAACATTACATAAAATAATCATTTGTTATATGTCATTGTAATGGTATGACAACAGGTGAAAAGTTAAAAATCAAACCATCAATCATCGATAAAAAAAGAAATGTTAAGTATGCACGATATTGATCATAAAAGAAATAAAACCATGTTGCACAACAATCTTTGATATTCTCAACAGAACTTCTGGAATTTTTCAAATTTAAACTTGATTCAATTTGTTTTTCAAGCAAATCTAAATGATATATAACGTGTAAGAACTAGAATCTTGTGATCATTCTGAATGTTGATTCATATTTCTTTTCTGACTAATGATTATAGATATGGATCCTTGAATTTTTAATGAAAATCAACAAAAATTGATGTGTTTTTTTTTTAACATAACATTTCTATGAACTAATATTATATCTAAATAATTCATTCAACATATTCGAAAGTCAAGAAAAGAGTATGTTTCTTTCTAAATATTTTATCTTATGAAGAAAATAAAATATACTAAAAACTTTAAAATAATAAAATATTAACTTTTGACAACGGCATACTAGAAAATCGGTTGTTTATGACTTTGAAATATAGAAGAATATTTATTTTATTTTTTTGTGGTGAATCATTGTCATATCAACATAAAGAAAACTTTTCTTTTGTACTTGTCAGAGATGTTCCAAGCGAGACATGTGATGACCTCTGACCTCCACAGTCTTGAAAAATTTTTGTTTTACTCCAGCAGAGTTCCAGCATTTTATTGTTTTGTTTTCGTTCATCAATTCCAAAAAATAAAATATTCAACTCCACCAAAATTCAATGAACTTTTGCAAAAAGCTTACAATCAATCTCTGCAGTCGTCGACCTCCGGACGTCCCTGGTATTTGTAAGCAATAAAATTTCATATTTGAAACAAAATTCCTTAGACTGAAAGGATGGCTAGAGTCAACAGAAAAAGACATCTATGCATAAGAATTCAAGTTAATCATCCGTATAGATGTCGTATTTCTTTGTATCGTATACAGAAAAATTGAGTCTGCACATATGATTATAATTAATTAAAATCATATTATTTGAATAATATGATATTAATTTTTTTTGCAAAAGAAACAATACTAATATAACTAATATCCATTTCAAAAAAGAAAAAGTGTAAGTATTTTTTGAATAATTTTCGATAGAAACTAGATAGAGAGTTGTGGTTTTCACCGTTCAAAAGAGGAAATGAAACTGCATTGAATAATGTATACCAGATTTTTCTGACAAGGTTTCTCGGAGTCTGCCATTAAGTTTCTTAAAAACAAAATATTGTTCAATATAAAGTTTTTACGATTTGAATTTTCAGAAGTGTACTAGAATCATTAAGTGAAGATCTATAAATGATGTAAGTCCGATGTTGTAAGATCTAGCCAGTCATGAATTACATACATTTTATTGCATGTTATCGGCAGATTTTTCATAGAAAACTGACTATTTTTCTTATTTTTTAACGAAAAATCTACCTTATAAACCTATTGAAAAGCCTGGATCTTTTGAAAAAATTGGTGAACGACTGTGAGAAAACTTGTAGGAAAAATCTTGTATACATGATTCAACGTAGTTTCATCTCCTCTTTTAAACGGTGAAAACCGCCGTTCTCTACCTAGTTTCTATCAAAAGTAATTATTAATATACGATAAAAAGAATATTTATTCACTATACTCAATTATGATTTGCAATTTAAAGTTTTAAGACTAGTATTAAAGAACAAAAACGAATAGAATTACAACAGTACAATGATCAAAGATATCAATAAAATTTCTGTACAAAAATGAATAACATTGCACATATAAACTAAACTTCGATTTTTCTTTATAAATATAAAAATCAAGTTTTATATTACGAAAAAATTCATTTTGTGAAACAAATCACTGTGATATGTACAGTCATGTCTTGTATTTATCTAGTACTCTATTTAATGCATGTTTATATCTGGATGCACCTATATACTTAGGTCTGACCAAAAGTTCCCAGAACATTAAATAGAAATATAAAAATAAGGAGGTATTTTCAATTTTATTTTATCAAATGTTGAGGATAGTTGCCATGATTATTTATATCAAGGTCAATCCTTTCTAACAATTTAGTAAAAGTTTTTTTGAAGTCTTTTTCGAAAAAAATTTTAGCTACCTTGGATACCACATGAGCTAATCATATTTCATTTATTTAATCAGTTAGACTACATTCAATAAAATTAGTTAGCCACAAATTACATAGTACCAGGCCTGGCGAATGTGACTGCTATGACATTATATTGATGTCTTCGTCTGTCAAATAACTAATAAGATCAGATGAGTATCGAGTCAACGATCATCTTTAAGCAACTTTGTACATTTTGAACCTGATGTCTATATTTGTTTCCACATTTCATTAACAAAAGGGTTCAGATAATTTTCAATATAATACTTGTGATCTACAGTCTTGCCTTTATCTATACTGAAGATTATTTGATTTGAAGAATATACTAAACAAAGTTTTGCTTCACATCTGTCTCCATGAACAATAGTCTTTGACAATTCATCTTCAATAAGCCAGTTAGTATCAGATGACTTATGACTGACCTATCTAAAATAAATCCATATCCCATTACTAATAATGCTAGAATGCAACTGACATTCCGGAATAAAATTCCACTAAATTTTTAAAACAAATGAAATATGATTAGCTCATGTGGTATCCAAGGTAGCTAAAATTTTTTTCGAAAAAGACTTCAAAAAAACTTTTACTAAATTGTTAGAAAGGATTGACCTTGATATAAATAATCATGGCAACTATCCTCAACATTTGATAAAATAAAATTGAAAATATCTCCTTATTTTTATATTACTATTTAATGTTCTGGGAACTTTTGGTCAGACCTAAGTATATATTTCTATCCTATCAGTAGAAGTATAAGTCAATGTGTTGATCGACGGCTACAAAAGTCTCAGACTTCGACGGTTGAAAGTTTTCCATGAATTTGTAAAAAATTTTCATTGTTTTAAGAAATTTTCAAATGAAAAAGGATGATAGAGAACTTATTGACAAGAAATCAGACGATAACATCTTCAAAAATTGATTTGAGACGTCGAGAATTTTCAAAAATCAAATATCTACTTTTCGGTTGCAATAACGACACAGCTTACACCATCATCCGCCATTCTTAAGTGAATTAAGTCCCAATGAACATTATTTGTTATCATAATGATTCATGATTTTCGTAAAAGACTATTTGCAATGAATTTTTGTAAAATTTTTTTCTATTAAACAATCTGATTTAAATCTTTTCATTTTTTGAATTATATCACATATTTATTTGATTATTACAATCCTATGTCTTATGTTTTATTATGTTTATGAAACAGAAATTATTTAAAAATCGCATGATGAAAAAAAAAGAACATCTTGTACGAGTTGTCAATATGAAAGAAAAATAAATCATATCTATCTATGAAAAGAACATTCAGTATATATTCTTAATATAATTTTCATAATATACATCGTCACCGACGCACACATAGACACCAACAAATATTATAATTACTAAGTAGACGAATGTATATAAAAAAAAAAGAAAAATAAAGAAGTGAAAGAAAGAAAAAAGAAAAGATAAATTGTTTTTAGAGTTTTGATTAGGGAAAAAAGAAGATATGAATATAGATAATTTAAAGAAAATAGAACGGCGGCGGATTACAGAATATCAAACTCAACATATATTGAGGAGAAAAATATAGAAGTGCAGGACACACTGAACCAGCACATATGTATATATATATATATATAAAGAAGTTAGTTTTGAAAAAAAGAAAAATATTGTATTGCACACAACATGAATATAAAGACAAAAGAACGAGTAACATTATTAATAAATATAAGGACACACAACCATATTTAGAATATATTACTGACCAGCAGCTTATAATAAAGAACTATTATTGTGAATAAAGTGAAATTCGACGTTCAAGTAATGTTTTTATATCTGAACGTTTTACAAATGGACTTATTGATACATCAGGATAAAAGACAAAATTCCATATAAATATAGGATCACGGGGATCAATATCACGACCTATCGAAGAAGACGAAAAGAAAAGAATTTCATTATTAACTTAAAATAAATAATTGAAAAATTTTACCATTAAATGTTATTAATGTTTGATTATTATTTGCATCAATATTTGATCCATATAAACTAAGAATTTTATCACCAATAAAAATATTTAATGATTGTCGTTTATCATCAATATTCTTTTGATGTTTATTATTATTATTATTATCATCATTATCATCATCATCATCATTCTCATCATCATCCGAATATGATAATGGTAATGTTGCTGAAAGTATTGATGGTGATAAACAATTTGATCGTTCTGATGATGAACGACTTGATGGTCGATCTGATTGTGAATAATAATCACTTGTTGAACAAGTTAATGTAAATGATGATGCATCAGGATTTAAATTTGATGATGAATATTTATTTGAATCAATTGTTAATAATGGTACATCATCATTATTTATATTTATTGGTGTTGTTAATTTTTTTGTATTATTATATCGATTTGATATTGTACGTGGTGATTTAGGACTTATAAGAATTTCATTTTGTGCATATTCAACAATCATTGGATAACCATTTAATTGTAAACCATTACAAGCATTTAAAGCACGTTGTGCTTCTTCATTTGTTGAAAATCTAACAAAACCGTATCTTTCACGTACTTTAACACATTCAATTATTTGTCCATATGTATGAAAAATTGATTGAAGATGTGTACTTGTTGTATGTGTAGCTAAATTACCAACAAATAATTTACATGTTATTTGTTTGGAATTTGTAGATACATTAATATTTAATTTTTTGGACGGATTATATAGATTTTTCGAATTAAACATTGCTTGTTTGGTTTATTTTTAGGTGTGTGTATGTATGTGCGTCTATACGGTTTAAAGATGGAAATGAAAGTGGATAACAAAGATAGGAGGGATGAATAAAGTAGTGGAGTGAATATATGTTTAACAGCACGTGTTATGTTGTTGTTTTTCTTTTCTTTTCTTCTTCGAGGTTGTGAACATATTAACTAGGAGTATACATTCGTCGAATCGAATAATTTTATTTATTTTAGTAGAAATGATATGCAGAAGGTGACTTACGAAAAATGAATTTTTCTTTCTTTTTTTTTTGACTTTGTGAAAAGTATTGTTTTATGTATTCTCACACCAATTTAAACCATTTTGATATGCGAATTAATGAATATTTAGTGTTAAATGTTTATTTCTTAGCCATTTTAAATTAATGTTATTGTTTTCTTTGTTAGACTATGCACAAAAAGAAAAAGGGAAAGAATCGATAATGAGCATTACAAACATGTTCATAAGAACATAAATGTGACGATCATTTTTCTTGTCTAAAGAAAGACATTATGATTATATAGATAATTGATCAATTTGTCGTTTTGTTTTTTGAATCGTACATATTAATTTTGTTATTTAAAGAAAAAAAAATTTTAAACTTATGATGACTGTTACTTTTGTTTAAAGATTAGAGAAAATCTTACGAGGGAAGTTCATCAAGTGATTCATCACTTTTGAGTTGGAATTATGTGCAAATATATAGATTCAAAAAGGCTTTGAATATTTTGAAAAGAGTTCGAATCCTTAGTTTATTACTGTGGAGGTACTGTAAATTTACGGTTGTTTTTAAATAAATGCTGTAGTCTCCCACTGGATAACTGATTTTCAACTTGAAATTTTGCATAGAAACAAACGTTAATCGATAATAGTTTATTGTGAATGTTTCAAGCCTCTATAGTTGTATTATAAGATAGAAACAGCGACAAGATCTATGCAAAATTTGAGATCGAAATTTAAAAATCACTTTTCCTTAGGGGAGAGACCATAGCATTCATCTAAAAACTCCTGTAAAAGTACAGCATCTCTGTAGCAATAAGCTAAGAGTCTCAAGGTATTTAGATCCATATAATGCACATAGTCTCAATTTCAAAGCAATTTATCAGTTGGAGAACTTCTCTCATTGAATCTGATTGATGAAAACTTTGTCGTTATGATATGCTGATGAGAAATTATAATCGTTTTCAAATAATTATTCATTCATTATTAAACAATAGGATTAACTAAAACATATTAATTCATTGACTAATTTTAATCAAGCGAATAAGAACTAAAAGTTTGAATACTAGATTGAATCTACGAAACGAGAATGTTTCAAATATCCAAACGAAAAAATAAACGTAAATAGCTTTTGAACGATATAAATGATTTATATTCTTTTTTATAAATTCGTTAGGTTACTCTTCAAAGTCCTATTCAACTCATTTCTGAAAAAATATCGATGCTTATCAACATCATACAACAATTGGAGTGATTTTCGGATTTAAGCTTCATTCGTCCAATGTCGTTCAACAGATGAATTTATTAGTTCGTTAGTGCCATATTTCTTTGTTCTCTAAAACTGTTACAGAAGAAATTTCGTCATGTTCTAAAATTTCTTTAAAATAATCAATGAAGGAAAAGTTGATGAAGTTCATGAATATGTGCCTACATAAAGCGTAACTTGTTTCATATTTCAAATAACACCGTATGAAATTATGACAGAATATTTCCTATTAAAGCCATTTAAAGCAAATATGAACTCTAAAATTCTACCAAGAAAATGCGCGCAAAACTTTATGACCAATAGTGATAGACTATCACGATCAGAGCAGATTGGTCAGTCTAAAATCCATATCATTTCCATCTCTAGGAGTCTCATTTCATGTTATAAATGTCTAAAGGATTTCCTGCATAAGCGTATCTAATAAAAATAAGAAAATCAATGAGTTCGATCGATAATCAGTACTGATTTCATGTATACTCAAAACAAAGAGAATAGTTTTTTTTCTCTTAAACTAAACAGTTTTCATTTTTATTGTCTAGTTAATAAATCAAATACCTAAAGGAATGTCTAAAAGATATACATTAAAGATCTCGTCCGAATAAAAATCAGAATCGATAACGAGATGAAAATGATGTTGAATGAAACTCTAGACAATATTTTTTAAATATTTGAAAAAGCCATATACCCAGAACGCTTCAAAAGTTCTCTTAAAAAAATTTAAGCGATTCGTTTTTTTTAATAATATAATAGTGTGTTCGTTGAAGTTTTATTTAATATAATTTCATTGAACAATAAATATTCATAATAATTTGTATCAACCAAAACACATAAATCTATAGTTTTTATAATATCAGAAAAAACATAATACAGGTTTTTTTATCGAGTTATTTTCCTTATTGGTTTCTATTTTAGATTGAATCTGATCTTTTAAAAACATTCTATCGACATTGATTTTTATATTATATTTATTTATAATAAATTTTTACATATTGTAATTCGATCTTATAAATCAGTTTCGTGATGCAATCTTCGTTGAGCTTGAATTTTGTAGTTTTGTAAAGCTTTTCAAACCATTATTAATTTCTAACGACGTCAATTTCATCATATGAGATATTTATGTTTCCTATTCCGACAGAGTTCTAATACACTGTGCAAATGAAGTTATATTAAATGAAACTATAAAACAATTTCGTATAAATAACTTTAACGGTTAGAACACTATTGACATTGCCATTTCGTTTAGACTTTTTGAACACTCTGTACTTTTATGATTGTTCTAACGAGAGAATTACCCCAAATGGTACTTCGCGTTTGAGACGAGACACCATTCAATAGGTATGGTCTCTTGAGACTAGAAAAAGCCTAGTCACTATGCGTTGTTCTTCTAGAGTTATGACCATTTCACTGAATTTTTTATCCTTAGTACAATACTTACAAATAAAAAAACAAGGAAATGAATTCTGACCTGAAACTTTGTCCATAAACAGTTGTTCAAACCAGTAGAATATTCTAAAAATTTCAGTCAAGAAGAATGATTCATTCTTGAAATATTATATCCTCAAAATCCGATTAATGCAAAATTTTCAGATCAGGCTCCGATCGGGTTCGGCTCTAAGTCCGTATCGGATCCGACGTGTTCTAATGGGCACTAGGCTTTTTATAGTCTCAACAGATCCAGTCTAATGAGAGGTGTTCCGTCAAAAACACACGTTACCATCTGAAGCAATTCTCTCGTCATCGATGAAAGATAAATCCGAATCCTAATAAACTATTATCATAAATAAATCTACCATACCCATTTTATAAGATCAATAGTTCAAACTTTCATTTCAATTCGAATTATAAATAATGAAAGTTTAAATCATAACTTTGCTTATTTAAAATTTTGATAATATTTTGTTTTCTTTTCGAAAAGTTTATGTGATTTTTTTTTTTCGTTCTATATTGTACTTATAAAAATGAGCAATCTCTCTTTTCTTTTTTCATATAGCTAAAGATGTATCATCGAACTACTAGATAGCATCAAACAAACAAAAAAGAAAAACAAAACAAAACTGTAGAGCATAGCGAAGAAAAAAAAAAAAGAAATCACATAACACACGCACACACAACAAAATAAAATAAAACGTTCAAATGAAAGTAAAAATTTTCTTTTTGTCTATCTATCAAATCTATCTTTTATATGTTTGTTTTTATCCTAGGAAATGTTTTAATTTATATTAATTTTTTGTTTTTCGTATTAAATAAGTCGATGTTGTTGTTGTTTAGCAAGAAAAGCCACAGGATCAAAAGGCATTGGTGTTGGTGTTGGATAAAGTTGAGTATTTGGTGGTGTAAAATGATATTGAAGATGATCAATATTAAATTGTTGAAGATTACTAGCAAACATTGCTAATTTTTGATCGAATAATGTTGCTACTAATAGTGATATTGGATCATTTGGATTTGATGTCGATGATGAGGATGATGATGATTGTGGTAGTGATGGTGGTGGTGTTTGTGGTTGTTCTTTAGTAGCAATTGAGATTTGTGAAGGAATTGTTGTCATTCTATTTGATGGCGGTGGTGGTGATGATGATGATGATGAAGCAGTAGTTGAAGGCGGATGTGAAGCTACATTTGTTGTTTGATTAGTCTTGCATCGTTTTCGTGGCTGATACTAGAAAGAATAATAGTAGAATTTAATCGAAAGAATTATGTCTATGTTGATAATTTTATATATATGATAAAAAGGTAGATGTGTATAAAATGATTTAGGAATTTTTCAAAATTTGAATTCGGAAATATTTTATACAGTATAAAAAGAGTTTACAGAATGCTTTCATGTTAAACAAAGCAGTTGTGTTTAGGAATGAAAAATCTTTCTTTGAAAGCTATAAGTTACGTTGAACATTGTTCAAATGGTTATTCTCGTGCAAGAATTAGAGAGTATGAGAAGCAGATTTCATTTGTTTTCTCATATATCAGTCTTTAACTTTTTATGTTCTTCAACATTAGTTCATAAAATTTTATCAAGTTCAAAATAAATGAAATCTAATTTCTGTTTTTCTAGAAAAAAATTTAAAATGAATAAAATCATAGTTGATTAATAGAAGCGATATATATATATATAGGTTAAAGTTCAAGAAAATAATTACTTTATATGTAGGATATTGTCGTGCATGAAGATGTTTTAATCGTTCCGATTCTTCCATATATGGTTGTCGTTCACGTAATGACATTCGTTTCCATTTTGCTCCACAACATCTAGAATATTTGTAATCATAAAATAAAAATAAAAAGCAAAAAAAAAATATATATATATAATTATATAGCAAACTTACTTGCTTATATCAGCATTCGGTAGATGTGGTGCTAATTGAACCATTTTTCTACGCTCAATTTGTGAAAAAACCATAAATGCATTCATTGGTCGTTTAACATGACCAGGACGTACACGTTTTTTTGGTTGTGTACGTGTTGCATCTGAATATGGTGTTGGTGTTGTTGGATCAATAAG